AGTCTTCTTCCCGCGTGATGGCGGTCTTCTTCCTTAGAGTTAGGGTTTCGGTTCTAATTCTGTTTCACTTTTCTATCCCGATCTACAATCTACACACTAGGATAACCTGGCTCTGGTACCATTGATGGAGCATTGTACCTCTAAAACGTAGATCAGGGGATAATCTTGACTTAGATGGGGTAACTTGTTCCTGTACCTCGTCCTAGCGCAGTTGCGTCCATGGCGCCTCAGCGACGTGGACGCCGGTGTCTTGGCATCGTAGGCGCGGTGGAGTCCAGAGGGCGGGGCGATGCAGAGGCGACGGTGAAGTCGATGGCGACTTTCCGTCGCTGGCAGCACCCTCTCTCTGGATCAGTTAGCGTTAGAGAATCGTCGGTAGGGCGCCTGATAGCTCAGGGGAACCTCGTCCGTGTGCCCTGGCCCCTACCTCTCTTTTATGGTGTTGTGCGACGGGAGCCCACCAACCATGGAGCGGTTGGACGCCCCCGATCAGGGCGCGGATCCAAGGTTGGGCCAATTGGTGGAGATCAAACTAACATGAAGATCTTCACCTTATTTTCAACATTCGTTTTTCAAATCTTGTTCCAGTCAAAAGTGCAGGTAACAGCACAGGAGGTCGATGCATTGGTGCCTGTAAGCATTTGGGGACCCACCAAAGGATCCTCCTTTTGGAATTGGTTCAGTGTACGGTTTTCTAACTTGAGTTGCTTCCTGTTTAAATTGACCGAACCTTGTCAGAACAAGGCCGTTAGCAGCAGTACTAATGGGACTATTAACTGGAAAAATGTCAAAAGCAGGCAGACTCTAAGAAATGTGCTTGAGTGATTGATCAAGAACAATACACAGATATGCTCGTGTTTACATTGAATATTGGAACCAAGGTTTAGATTTTATTTTGGCTACTGTCGTTTATCTTACAATGTTGAAGGGAAGAAAAGTAATATAAGAGTTACTGCACAAGCATTTACAAGTCTATTGGGGTAAAGTTAAAACAACATTGTATAAAATCTCATGTACAAGACCTTTTATGAACAGAAAGAATGTGTGGCCTTCATCGAGTGGTTTGAGCTACGAAAGAATAGCCAAGAACACCAATTATGTGAATCAATGTTCTGTTCTCCATCTAAAGCGACAAAAAACTTGAAGAACCATTGCAGATGAATAACCATATTCTTACTATCTAAAGCAACAAAACTCGAAAAGCCATTTCATATTTTGATGATGCTGGAGCTCAGCGGAACGACCATTGTATCTCCTCGAGGGTTCTTCCCTTTGTCTCTGGCACCCAAACGATTACGAACATGAGAGTTAAGGCACTCACAATCATGTAGGTGGCAAATGTACCTGTACAATTTGGAAACAAAGGTAACCTGTGTAAGGTCTGATAGTTCACATATATGATCCTACTCTACACAAGAGATAAGCACAAATGCACATGGACCTCCAGCACTCCAGCTGATCAGCAAGTTTGCTGTCATTGTTATTCCAAAGGATGTCAACCAGTTGGCAAGGGTCGCAAAGCTTCCTGCAAGACTCTTGATGCTAACTGGGAGGATCTACAAAAAGCAAAGTTTTGAAGTAAGCCTTCAGATTGCTTACAGCCTGTGCCTGGGAGGATATGAACAGTGCTCTTCAGTGGAAACCTAAAACTGGGAGAGAGGCATCTAGTGACTAGTGAGATATCTTCGCTATCCATTAAGGTACTATACCTCAGACATTATGATCCATGGAATGGCACCCATACCGAAGGAGAAGGCAATGACATAAGCCTGGGTGAAGTATTTGAACAAAAATTTACGGCACAGATTCCACATTTAGAAACAAATGTTCAGATGAAATGTAACTGACAGACTTACCACGACACCAACCAAGGACACCATACTTAAGATGTTATACAAGTCAGAGTCATGTGAAACATTATCCTGAAACAAAAAATCCATGATAAGAAAGAAGAATATTCAGTGAAATGAGATGATAGACCCTGCAACAATCCTGCGTATCAAAATCTTCATAAACCATGTACTGCAGTATTGCAAAGAGTACAGAAGAAGAACTACTATCTTCTCATCAGAATCTTATCGCAAAGGAACGTGAACATACCTTGATGTAAAATACAATAGCAACTACAAGAAGGCTTAGAGTCATCCCAGCAGAAGAAATCTGCAATTTGAAGTGGCAATTAAATTAAGCTACAGATAACTTAACAGCTAATAGCATTAGAGGGAAGCAGAAGTTAGTTACAATAAGGAGGATTCGTCGGCCAGCTCTGTCCAAGAACATGGTTGTAACAACAGTGGCAAGAACCTGATGGAATCATGGAAGGCTGTTAGAAGCTTAAAATAAAATATAGAGACTAGATAAAATCTGCCTAGTTATTATTCACATGCCTGAATAGCTCCAAGTGCAAATGTGTCCAAGTCACTGTCCTTGAGACCTGAAGAAATTTGATTGTTAAATTAAAAGCTAAAACCGACTACACCAGCACTGTTGTAGACAAAGACAGAGGAGACGTGCTGCTTTTGCAATAATATAAACAATGAATGTCATCATTCATCAGGGCAGGAGAATGATAAACCACGTTACCACTTATAAGGGTATACAGTTATTAGCTTTTCTGAACCTGTTACAATGCATTAGAAACAATACGGCCATTTTATCCCAGTTCACTGTTTTGATATTTATACTTTGTAGTCCAATAACACTATTCCGCATTGCCAATAAGACACTTATGTTGGTTATCTACCAATTAAATTTGCAAGATACCCAAAATTTCTTGCCTAAAACTTATGATGCCCAACTAGTAATGAAAATTACAAGCCAGTGAACGAATGCACAGCTTACCTGCAGCTTTGAAGATGCTACTTGCATAAAACAGTATACCATTTATTCCACTTAGCTGTTGCAGCACAAGTAGACCAATTCCTATCTGCGAAAAGTTGTGACATTGTCACAAACTGACAATTACAAAATGTGAATACTAATTAGGTACGAGATAAGCAGATAAAGTTAAGTTACAATTAGGGGCGTTCGGTATTTCTTTTGGTTCAACTCTTGAAAACGGATTGTAGTCCTTTTGTTTGCTGATGTTACTGCTCTCTGCATAATGGGGAGCAAAGCTAAAAGTTAATCCCACTGATTTCATAAGAATGAAGTACATAGAGCCGTGTGCTTGATGTTAAAGAACTAATGATACCCAAAGGGAAGATTGCTCATATAAATCATATTCAATTAGTCTAAGAACGAAAGAAAGTGCTTACCTTTATATCATTCACTTCTGCAGTGATGTCAGCATCGAATCCCCTCAGAACTTGTAGAGAAGTCTCGCAATCATCCATCATATTCATCTTTGCCTAGAAATACAAGGGGAAGAAACATCCGTTGGAAATTTCAGCTTGGCACAATGATTCAGAGTTCATTATCCCACTTGTGCATGTATATACCAGCCATCTTGGAGATTCTGGAATGAAGAATAGGCCAGGTATCAACACTATGCAGGGCAAGGTTCCTACAAGTATGGCATCACACACTTTAGGATAGAAATTATCTCAAATAGGGTCAGAACAAAAATATTTGCCTACTATATTTCTATTATTCAATATATTGCTCAAATCATTTGCTGTTGCTGATCATGTGAGCTGAAATATCAGAATTGAAGTGCAAACTAATAGCAATAACAACAGCAGACCCATTAGTGTATCAGGGTATAGCCACATTACCTATTACTGCAAGAAGCCTCCAAGGAACAAACAAGCCAAGCAAATAGGCAAACATGATACCAAGGGTTACAGACAACTGTAAAATGAACAAATGTTGAAATGTACAATGAGTTCTGCATAAAACACGCCAAGTGTTTACCTGAATTTCACAAATAGATAAAATGCTTGTGACTATAAGCAAACCTGGTTCACAGAGCCTAGAGCCCCTCTCATGTTCTGTGGAGATATCTCTGCTATGTATACTGGTACCTGGTGTCACGAAATTCACAGATCAAAATTAGCTGTTATAACCAGTCCATGCTTCCATTGTTGTTTTGCCAATAAAAATAACTTCGTAGGGATAGATCACTTTGTCTCGAAAATGTTGATATCTCAGTTGATCTTGTTCTTTTTTCTCACTTGTACAGCTTAAACACCACAAGTACTCTAACTGTCAAGCCATAAATCTCCTATGCGCAGAAAATAATCAAGGATGGAGTTTTATTATACTAACCACATAGGAAATGATACCGACACCAAATCCTTCAAGTAAGCGTCCCATATACAGAAATGAAGAGTCCTGTAAAGCAGACATCAAACAGTCATCAATCCTAATGTTGTCACCTGTCAAGCAATATGTTGAAATAAACAAAGGAAACACATAATGCCATACTTTTGCAAAGGAGATTGCAAGCCAACCAATGACGTTCGGAATCGCTGCAATCATCAACGACTGCAAAACAGTTAGCAAGCCAGTTACTGTTAGCGAAAAAGAGTACAACTTCAGTGCAAAACATGTCTTCAATTGATGAAAACACCTTCAGTCAAAGTAACTGTAAATACTCAGTGACGTCTTTTCAGCCCAACTGCATGATTGATGATGACCATGTCAATGGGAAAGATATATCTAACGAATTTACGAGCACAAAAACTAAGGTCATAATCCGATTTAACGAAGCCGCACAACAAATTCGGCACAGGCGTCAACCGACAGAGAACTAGTGTGCTTTAAATTTCAATCAGCAGGTAGTGCATACTACTCTCGACTCTCCGCACAGAATGCAAACAAAGAAGAAAAAGGAGTAATAAATGAAGAAAAGGAGCAGAGTTGTTTCTCACCCCTTTGCGGCCCATGTACTCGGCCATCTGCCCGCTGGCGATCGCCCCGACCATGGCGCCCACGTTGGAGAGCGAGCCGAACACCGAGAACTGCGCGGGCGGTCAATTATTAGTTTGGAAACCTGAGTGTGTGTGTGTGTGTGAGGGGGGAGATAGAGCAAAAGCCAAAAACGTAAGTAGTAGAATTCACAGGCAGAGGGAGGGACGTGCCTCGGAGATGGAGAGGTTGAGGTCCCGGATGATGCTGGCCTGCGTCGGGGAGGAGTATCCGCCGGTGAAGCCGAACTGGATGGGGCCGAGCGCGACGATGAGCGTGCAGAGGAAGGCGGAGACGTGGGACTCGCGCAGGACGGCCATGGAGGAGGTGCCGGCGGCGTTGAGGCTGGACTGGCGCGACCCCATCCCCATCCGGTACCAGCTCCCGCTGTTGGGCAGCAGCGGCTTCTGCAGCGCGCCGTCGTGGTCGCTGCCGCTCTCATACTCGACGCCGGATGCCCTGTTGCTCGCCATGGCGCCGCGCGCGCTCGCCGCCCAGCTCGCAGCGAGATTTGATTGATTTGTTTCCTTTTCCACTAGAATGCCAGGAGACGACAGGACAGGAGCGAGACCCACCTCGTTCCGTTGAATGGGGGAGTGCGGCTGTCAGACTCGTCGTGCCAGGCAGGTCTCGTCGGAGTCCCACCCGTCAGGGACCCAGAAGTGTCTGCTCTTTTTCTCAGCTGAGCTGGACATGACTTTCGGCTCATCACCCACACGTTTATCTTTGGACGGATAAATGCTGGCCGTGTTGTTTTTGCCGTTTGTCGATACTGTCATACTGGGCCACAGTGTTCGTTGAGCAATTCTCTACTGCCCCGTGCTGCCAAGCATGCTCTTTCAACAAGATGCAACTTGTGTTATGGATAGCCATCAACGTTGGATGGCCGGATGGACAGTGACATCCCGGGGAAACGTTTTCCTCTCGTTTGGTTTCGGGACCTTGCAGATGATTGCACGTCCTGCCATGCCTATCAGAATTATTAGTCGGAAACTCCTTACCGACTGACTGACGTACTCCCTCCGTTTCAAATTATAAATTGTTTTAACTTTTTTATTCATCTATTTTACTATATATCTAGATATATTATTATATCTACTGCACAGTAAAATAGATGTAACAAAAACCTCAAAGAGACTTATAATTTGGAACGGAAGGAGGAGAATATTTACTGACAGATGGGGTCCGGCTCAGCATCACTCTGTATCTGTATTCCGAAGTTCTTGTCCAAAGAGCACGGATCAGGTCGCACGTTCGTCTGTATCTGTATTCCGAAGTTCTTGTCCAAAGAGCACGGATCAGGTCGCACGTTCGTGCCAGCCCATGCATGTCGGTGGTGGCTGGTGGGCGAGCAGCTGCTCACAGTCACAGCCACGTCAGATTCGCATGGGACAATAAGCTACTACCTCCATTTCTTCTTGAAGAAAAAGCCAGTGTGCTCACGGCCACCGTCGTCCATCGTGCGCCTCGTGGTCGCGGACGGTACAGCTAATGTCTCCCTCTCCCTGAACGGAAGACTCTCAGGGGTTGGTTGTTCCTTGTTCGCATGCTGGAACGGAAGCCCAAAGCTTACAACTACAAGGAAAGGAACGTGTTGCATGTGTGCAGATCATGCCGGATTTTCTACACCCACAGTTCTGATCGGGATGCAACAGCAACACCGGACGTCTCTCCGTCGGTTTGGTATCACTCGACACCGACAGCGACGCGATCCAAATTTGATCAACATGACCAATGGGTGAGGGGTCTTTTTTGGTTTTTGCTTCTGCTACTTTGCTGTTAGTTTGTCAGCTGGCGCCGTTTGGTTAGCATACATCATGGCAGGGCTACCTCTCGGACGTCCGGACGCTAGACCCTCGTCCGGACGTAGCTTCGACGCCTGTACTCTTGGCGCATCGGACGTCTCCTATCGGGTATCGATATTAGGGATATCCAGAGGAAGGAAGTTAACGGCCATGAACGTTAATTCGTCCGGATGGTCAAGACGTATTTAAGGTCTTGCCCGACTCCAAAGGCGCGGGCTCCGTCTCGCCCGACCCCGAGGACGTGGGCCCCGTCTCGTCAGACCTCTCGGGCGCGGGCTCCGTCTCGCCAGAACCCTCGGACGCGGGTTCCGTCTCGCCCAACGGGGATCCATACCGTCTCCAACCACTATGGGTCTAAGACTACGACCCCAGGGTCAAACTTCTGACACCGGAAGGGGAGTGGGCACGTCTCGACGTGACCCATGGCCATGACGGACCACACTTGGGAGCTCAAGTCGCCAACATCATATGTTAGGCGTGCCGTGTTTGCTTAATCCTCAGATCTTGCTCGACAGAGTACTGTTGACCACGCCGCCCGCCATAACGGAGTGAAGCTCATGACCGGCCGACGACACTGTATATAAGCGCCAAAGGATTTAATAGGACCGCGACGTGGACCCTTCCCCGTCATCATCTACAAGACCGGCAGGACCCGCATAAAGGAGATGAAGAACGCCGCGACCCTAGAGGCCTTCTTCTCCCTCGCTTTTCTCCTTTTTTCCTCTCTTTCTCTCTCTGTAACCTGCGCCTTTCCCTTCACCTATAAAAGAAAAAGCAGGATGCCCCACGGTGGGGCACGAGCAGACAGAAAAATGCGCTCAACAAGACTCAACTCCGTTCGATCTTTTCACCAGAGACTTGAGACATTCTCCCTCTCTAGCCTGTTTGTAACCCCTACTACAAACTAGTGTTGGTAATACGAGCAGCAGCAGACTGGACGTAGGGACATTCCTCCAGAACCAGTATAAATCATTATGTCCTTCGAGCACACCATCCGGGCCAGACACGCAGATTCAAATTTACTAGCCGGTGGTTCAAAACACCGATAGTTGGCGTACCAGGTAGGGGCTTTTTGCGTGTCTCGACGTCCACATTAGGCCTCAGATGGCTAGTCATGGCGTCAGCTGGGTCCAGAGCGCGCACGTGTGCTTCGGGAGCCTAGACTTTATCGTCACGACGGAGGGAGAGTTGGCGCAGGCTCCTGCCGTAGTCCAGCCTCTGTACTCTGCCGGCCTCGACGCGATCGTCGAGGCGCTTGAGGAGCTGCAGCATCACACGCCGGAGGCCTGTGTCCCCGGGAGCGACCGGCTCCTCGGCTTCGACTACGAGAGGTTGGAGCGCCAATTCGACGCCTTCCTGGGACCCCGACTGTCCCGAGAGGAGCTGCGCTGCCTTACTTTCTCCTTTGCCAACGCCATGATACAACTCACGGGAGGGAACCGCTCTCCTGAACACCTCACCCGGTGCACCCGGTGAAGCGTCCCCTGCTCGGCTCACATAATGCTGCGAGGACCGTTGGCCACCTCATGGCGCAACGCATGCACCCATCCCCTACGAACGATGAGTTCACGGGGATGACCGAATACGTCGCGAAATCTTTCCACGACCTTCTCACGGGAGATTTAGAGTCGCTCTCCAACTCTGACTCCAGCAGGAGGAGCCATCACCCATCGCGAGAATGTTTTATGGTAGGTACCCCCGAGGGACGCGTCAAAAGCGTCCATGAGGGAGGGGCTATCCCACCAAATGACCTTGACGATGAGGTCAAGGAAGATGCAAGGGCCCTTCCTCGCATACGGGTGGAACAGCTAAGGGCGCGGTACCAAGAGCTCGGGGATGCACGACTCCAACTCGAGCAAGAGCGCGCAGAGCTCGAGCAAGAGATCGAGCGCCGCAGAGACGGTGGGCGTGCGCGCGCCATGTACCGTGATGTGAACCGAAGGATAATCGAAGACGATGGAGCCCTCCCACACTTCGCCCGGGCAAGCAAGAACATCGCTGCTGCGGCGGCCTTGCTCCGAGGGCTCCCGGAGCCCACGACACTCGAGGATTGTTGGGCCCATCGTGATATCCGCATGCTGCTCGAGCGCGTGGCGGTGCAGTAGGCGGAGAGCTCACTGTCTCGGCAACGCGAGCTCGATGCCAGTCAACGCGCGCCCTCGGGATGACATGTCAGGGACGTGTCGGTCCACCAGGCACCGCGCGGCGGCGGGGACGCGCCGTGGCCTTGGTGCATGAGCGTCTCGGTCTCCACCGTGACGCACATAACACCCTGGATGACCGTAGGCGTGGACGAAGGGACGAGAGAGAGGAAGCTGGCCGCGGCTACCACCCTCATCGCGGCGGACACTACGACAGCGGTGAGGACCGAAGCCCGAGCCTCGACCTACCGGGACCTCAGGCCTTCGGCCGACACATCCTCAACGCCGCCTTCCCACCGCGATACCTACCGCCGACCAACATCCCGAAATACCCTAGGGAAACGAACCCCTGACTATGGCTCAAGGATTATCGGTTTGCTTGCCAAGCCGGTGGAACGGATAGTGACAGTTTATCCGCAACCTCCCATTGTTCCTGGCCGATTCGGCGCGAACGTGGTTTGAGCACCTTTCGTCCAACCGGATTCAAAGTTGGGCGGACCTAAAGAAGTTTTTCGTGGGAAACCTCCAGGGCATCTAGACGCGTCTTGAGAACCCGTGGGATCTCAAAAACTGCCGACAGAAGTCCAGGAAAACTCTTCGTGAGTACATCTGTGAGTCCATGGTTCACAAGCTGGGACGCAAGGGCCCGCGAACCACCAAGGAGCTCCTCGACATCACCACCAGCCATGCCTTGGGCGAGGAGGCGGTCGGAGAGATTTTCGACCATCCCAAGGGCAAGGCGAAGCGGGACAAGGACACCGACGAAGGCGCCTCGAACCGCCCCAATAAGAAGAAGAACAAGCAGTGCCTCGGTCCACTACGAGGAGCCAGAACGAACTGGTGATAGGCCGCCGACCCCAGGCTCGGGGGCTGACCAACCCTCAGCTCCTCCTGACCTCGAGGTCATGGAGCTTGACACAGACCTAGTGGTAGAGCCCGACCCTCTTGCTGACTGGAGGACGCTTTACCTCGATTACCTCCTCCGTGAGGTGCTACCGACGGACAAAACGGAGGCTCGACAGTTCGCGCATCGCGCCAAGTCCTTCGTCGTTATTGAGGGGCAGTTCTACAAGAGAAGCCACACCGAGATCCCACAACGCTGCATCTCCATCGAACAATGGAAGCAGTTGCTGAGTGATATCCATGGTGGGGTCTGCGGGCACCATGCTGCACCTAGGACCCTGGTCAAAAATGTGTTCTGACACGGCTTCTACTGGCCGACCACAGTAGTCAATACTGAACAGATTGTGCGCACCTACGAAGGGTGTTAATACTATGCTCGGTAGACCCACCTGCCAGCCTAAGCACTCCAAACGATCCCCATCACGTGGCCGTTCGCGGTCTGGGGGCTCGATATGGTCGGACCTCTCAAGAGAGTGCCCGGGGGCTATACGCACTTGCTTGTCACCGTAGACAAGTTTACAAAGTGGATAGAGGCCCGGCCGATCTCTGTGATCAAGTTCGAGCAAGCCATGCTGTTCTTCCTTGATATCGTCCATCGCTCTGGAGTCCCAAACTCTATTATCA